CAGTATTAGTTTACATATTTTTGCAAATGCCTGGCTTAATGGAAGACAGCTGGATGCCCCATCAGCTTCTGCATTCAATATACTGTAGTAACATTGTTTTGGTTGAAGTATATGAAGAAAAGCTGGTCTCACACAGATACGGAGTTGAAAGATGGAGGAGTTTTTTTAATACAGGCAGCTAGGTGGCTCAGTGGATAGAGCCCTAGGCCTGGAGTCGGGAAGACCTGACTTGGAATCTGGAGACAGCTGCTAGCTATGTGACCTTGGGCAAATCTATTAACCTTGTTTGCCTCAGTTCCTCATCTGTAAAATGAGATGGAGAAAGAAATGGCAAACCACTCTAGTATCTTTGCCAAGAAAACCCCAAATGGGGTCACAGAGTCAGACACAACTGAAATGACTGAACCACAACAATTTTAGCCAATATGATGATAGTTTTGACAGGACACCCGAGAGGTCTTGGAAACCCCTGGAGTCACTGGACCACACTTTGAGAATCACTGACCTGGAACCTTGCTTTTATTCCCCATCTGCCTTAGGTCATCATGAAGAAAAAGCCAACGTGAACATCGGTCCTAAAAAATGCAGTGAGTGAAGCAAATTTGTTCTCTTCTGGGTACAAGTTTTAATAATTTCCATTCTGAAGTCATCACATGATGGACTTATACCAGGGCTAGACATTGCTGCCAATGAGGTTTTTACATAGTGTCTTACTATCTATCAATCCAAAACAATTTATGCCTAATATTTCTGTTAGGAACAGTCACAAAACCCTCAGAAAATAGTTAATAATGTTCCCATTTGACAGAATAAGGTAGGAAGATATTAAATGATTCAGCCCCCCCAGATTATACATTTATTAAGCACCAAGGCCTTCCCATCTGTAAAAGATTCAGTGACTCCCTGTTGCCTCTATGATAAAATACCAACTGCTCTGACCTTTATGATCTGGTTCTAATCTATCTTTTTAGGCTGATTTAACATTATTCTTCCTCACTCTACAATTTAATCTTCTTGTTCCCCATATACAGTCATCTATTCTAGCCTAACTTCCTTGGATTCCTTCAAGTCTCAGCCTCACTCTCTCCTCCAGAGTCACGGAAAAAGTCAAGAAGATTGGCAATGGCCAAGGATGTTGTGGGTGACCTTGGCCTTTCTAAATCAAGGTCTTTCCCAGGCAGCTCTGCTTCACTTAAATCCAATTCACTCGCAAGAGACAAACATCACCCGTGACGTCACTGCTCCTCTTCCAGAACAAAGGATGAACAGCGCAAGTTTCAGCTCAAGGCCCACCTTCTGCAACAAGCCTTTCCTAGCATTCCTTAATGCATTCTGTTGATTATTTCCAATTTATTCTGAATTTATCTTGTTTGTATGTAATTGTTTATATGTGATCTCCCCCATTTGATTGTAAGCTCCTTGAGGTCATGGACTGTTATTTACTTCTCTTTGTAACCCCAGGGCTTAGCATAATGCCTGACATCTAATGGAAGCTTAATAAGTGCGACTGGCTCACTGTCTCCAGCCTTGTACTTCTACACAGATTGTCCAACTCTCTGGACTACTCTCCCTCCCCTCCTTTGCGTGTTGGAATCCTTGGTTCCCTCCAACACTCAACTCATGTAATCCTCTTCAGGAAACTTTGCCTGCTTCCCCTCATTATTAATGCCTTCTTCCCCCAATCACTTTCTGTCTGTAGTTACAGTTTATATAACTGACGATATTTGAACTGTGGTTACATATTGATTTTGCATTTACATATCTGTGCACATCTTGTTTCCTCCAATGTAGAGGGCAAGGACTCTTCGTTTTTGTCTGTGTCCCCAGTACCTACTACAGCGCCTGACTCATAGGATACACTTAATAAATGTCGATTGAGTTGGGTCCAGTTGGGTCCCACAGTACTGTGCTAGGTGCAGGGGAGAGATACAAATCTGAATAAGATAGTCCCTGTCCTCATTGAACCTAGATTGTAAACTCTTTGAGGGCAGGGACTATCTTTTGCCTTTTTTTGCATCCCCAGAGCTTAGCAAAGTGCCTGGCACATGGTAGGCACTTAATGTGTGGGCAGCTAGTTGGTGAAGTAGATAGAGTACCAGGACTGGAGCTGGAGAAGGAAATGGCAAACCACTCTAGTATCTTTTCCAAGAAAGCCCCAAATGGGGTCACAAAGAGTTGGACATGACTGAAAAACTACTGAACAGCAACAATAATAAATGTATGTTAAATTAATGAAGTTTTTGAATGACTTACAATCTAGCAAGAGATAACTGAACAACAATAAACAAGAGAGAAGACACAAACACAGAAAACTCTGATACACAATAGTACATGATATGTTCATTAGAACTTTAAAAACAAAGTGCTAATTAGTCTGAGGGCTTTGTCAAGAAGTGTAAATGTTTGGTTTCAATTTTAAAGGATGGATGGTAATTTGATAGGTGAAGAGAGGGAGACATTTCAGGAATAATGAGCAGAGTGACCAAAAGCTTGGAGAGAGGAAAAGAGGGATTATAAGATCATAGATTTAGAGGTGGAAGGGCCCTCAGAAGTCATTTAGCCCAAGCCCCTTGTTTTACAGATGAAGAAAGTGAGGCCCAGAGAGGTTAAATTGTTTGCTCAAGGCTATACAGTAAATAGCAGAGCCAGATTTAGACTCCAGTCTTTTGAGTCCAAGTACAGCACTGTTTCTACTACTCTCTGCCTTGGTATTTTGGGAAGAGAGATTAGATCACTTTGGTTGAAGTGGAAGATTTGGGAAGAGAAATGTAGCCTCTAAAGTCCACAGGAAAACTTTTTTTTTTTTAAATAGCTCTTAAAATTTCACTGAGATTCTACTGCCAGGCATATACCAAGAATGTAAAAGACAGAAAGGTCCCATATTCATTGAAATATTCATAGGACTGCTTTTCATAATAGCAAGAAATTAGAAACAAAGCATATGCCCACGAACTGGGGAACGGAGAAACAAAGTGTGGGATGAAAATGGATCAGAATTATTTCTACATCATGAGAAATCTTGAATATGAAGAAATCAGAGAAACATGAGGAAGCTTATTTGACACATTGATTCAAAGTGAAGTCAGCAGAATTAGGAAATGGAATATACAGTGATTACAAAAATGTATATGGGAAAGAACCTCACAACTAGAAAACTGAATCCTTTGCAATTATAATGACCAAGAGATGAGAAGATATGCCTTCTTTGGAAAAGTGAGTAACAATGAGTATCACATGTTGCATCTATTGTTAGCATTGGTTGATAATTAATTAATTTTGTTGTTAATTAGTAATTAATTAGCAATTGGTCTCTTTTTCTATTATTTGTTACAAGGGGTGAGGGAGAAGGGGAAACATATTTAGAAATAAATATATATACATACATAAATATCAATACATAAATAAATATTTAATATAAAATACATAAATATATAAACATATCAATATATAATCAATAATTTTTAAAAGGAAAAAGCTAAATATTTTCCCTAAACATGGAACATTATAAATGAATCATTACTGAAACTATCTTTCTCAATCCTATGGCTTACAAAGACAAGTCCAGAAATATTTCTGAAGAGAATGCTGCCCCAATTTTATTATCTATGTCTTACCTGGAAGAGATGTGATGGTAGTCAAGACAGATTGTGAAGGGCCCACTGAGATGCTGCCAGAATTAAGGGAAAACTCACTATGAGATGCATCACTAGAGAGAACATTGTTAAATGAAGAGAGAGCTAAGGGATAGTTCTGCGGACTAGGGAGTCAGGAGGGGGCGCCTCACACTGTAGACCTGAAGGAAGGAGTTGGACCAGTTGACCTCGGCCTTTCCAGGTTGTAAGACTCTTTTATTTGAAAGGCAATGTAATATCAAGGAAAGAGCACTAAATTAAGAATCAGAGGGCTTGGGTTTAAATTCTACCTTGTTGTATATTATTTCTGAGATCATGGGCAAGTCACTTCCCTTCCTTCGTGACTCAGCTCCTTCAACCATAACACAAGAGGATCAGAGTAGACAACTGGTCGAGACCCTTCCAGATATGAAGCCTATGACTTTTATATTACTCTGTTCCTTATTTGTCAGCAACAAATCTATATGTTTTTAATTAAGCACCTACTATGTGCCAGGTGCTAATTGCTGGGGATATAAAGGTAGCCAAAATTAGCAAGGAGATCATAATATAATCTAAAAAAATAAAACATCTATGTCTCTCCATTAATGCAGGTGATGTGAACTACTGTCTTAGCGGGAGGTGGGGAGAGGGTAGTGAACCATGCATACTCCCTCAAAATTAGAATCATAGATTTAGAGCTACAGGAGAGGTTAAAAACCACAAAGACTAAACTTCTTGTTTTACTGATGAGGAAACTGAGGCCCAGAGAGATTTTATGACTTGTCTAGAGTTACACAGCTAGTAAGCATCTGGAACATAATTTAAACTCATATGTTACTGATTCTGAGACTATCATTTTATCTACTGCACTACCTGGCTGCCTCTATCTGCTTCTCTTAGAACCAGGGCAACATTTGCAGGATAACTTAGCCAGATTGATGGAGGTAGAGCTGATTTGAAAAGAGAACTGTAGCCATAGAAGAGAGATAGATGTTCTTTGAGTAAGGCTACCTGGATCTTATGATGGTAGATTTCAAATGGGCCTTGTTAGCGCCATGATATTGCTGACTGAGCAAACTAGCCTGGCTTTCTCTGACAAGATCACTCTACATTCACCTTTATTGGAAGCGAAGAGGGGAAGTATGGAGGGCCCAAACAGGTTTCAGGTCATGGTTGCAGCTTCATTCACTTCATTTTTTTTTCTCCTTCTGCAGAAGGGCTTGTTCGCTTATGTCATTTTTGGGCACATATTTGCCTTGAAGTTATTGACTAATAAACAAGTCCCAGCAGCTGGTCAGCTGAGAAGTGCTGAGAAATAAATGTTGCTTGATTTTCCATAAATGGAATTGAATTCCTTCCCATCCTTGTCTTGTGGTGGTGCAAAGAGTGATGGACTGGAAGTAAGGAATCCTGAACTCTTGTTACAGCTCTGGGCAAAGAGCTTTATCTCTCTGGACCTTGGGTGTATTAGCTGTCAAACAATGGCGTTGGACTAGGTGAGATTTTTTCCAGGGCTGGCATTCTTTGACCTTGGAGGTCTAGTCATAGATGGAAATGGAACATTGGCCTCAATGAAAGAGGGAAGGAAAGAGGGAAGGAAGGAAAGGAGGAATGAAGGAAGAAGAGAAGGAAGGAAGGAAGGAAGGAAGGTGAAGAGAGAAGGAGAGAGGGAAGGGAAGGGGAAAGCATTTATTACTATGTCCCATATTATTTATTGCTATGTCCCAAGCATGGCCTTAAGTGAGGAAGGATAAAACTATAACAGAAAATATAGCTGAATCCTCCTTCTTTTCTTTAGAAAGACGTGGGTCTGTAGGTACAGAAAGTTGCATAAGCCATCAGACATAGTCCTGGTGTTAGTTTGGCTTAACTGTTTTTCTTCTGTTTCAAGGGAAGGCTTACCAGATTTGTTGGGGCTAAAGAGTGGGGGATGGGGAGGGAAGATAGTGGGAAAAGAATATCTAAAAATGACATAAAAAGGAATCAATAAAACTCTAACTTTCAAAAATAAAAGAAGTTATTGAATTAGGAGAACCATATGTGGGTTCTTTGCTGATTAGTAGAGGAGGAAATCCTTTTGGCTCGGGTTATCCGGCAGGGTAGCCAAGATTTTTCTCAAGTTGCATACTTCTGGGAGCATTTGCTGTTTGAAGCAAGACAGGCCAACTCACCAATTGGGAGAGGAGAAAAGAGTATACTCAATTAAAAATAATTCAATATAGCTTTGTTAAACATGTTAAGGCTACTCTTCAAAAACTCTGCACTGGTAGACTGAGTCTCTAGTTAGAGGGATGCTACCACATTTCCCTAAGGATTCTAAAGGTAGCCCTGAGGAATGGGGTTGGGGGGGGTAGGGTTGGTCTTTTCTAGTGGCATAGCTCATGAGCTTCCACTAGTGTGCTGCCTCCCATGAGTCTCAGCAGATATCAGTTAGCCAAATTTTATTAGCTTCTTAAGAATATGGTATTTATTACCAGGGGCAGTTAGTAGAAAAAAAATCTCCCCCCAAAGTCTGTGACACACCCTCCTTTCAATATATAGAGTCCAGGGTAAAGTGGGCTCAAACTTAGAGAGTACAGAAGGCAAAGGGGTAACTCACAATTCCTGGAAATCCTTTTGCTAGAGTGCTTAGGTGTTCCCCTTAGATATAGTGTAGCTTCTCTACTGGGCTTATTGTAAGCCTTGAATCTTCTTTTCCCTATCACATCCAGTCTATCCTGGGCTCCAGATGCAGACACTGACATCAGTCACTGCTGCTCAGGAGATCAGATGGTGATGGAAAATTCAAATCCTCTGGTTCTCTAAAGTTCATCACGTCCTCTTCCAGTCGAGAGAGGGGAAAGGAGAAGATTAAGGTCAAAGTGCTCCCCTCACCCCAAGGAATTTCTTCTCAGGGGCTTGAATGCAAAGTTCTCATTCTAGGTTTCCAGACTCTTGAATTCCCAATGCCAAACTAGTCTTCTGGAAGCAAGATGTAGGGCATCACTAAATAAAATGCAAAATTGAAAGGATGTGATAAGTGTTATAGTCAGGGAAAGCTTACTTGAGGAGGAGAACCTTGATTTGAGTCTTGAAAGATCCTTGGAATTTAGAAATACATGGTGAGGAGGATGTGGGGTGAGAGTGGAGTATGCAGAACATTCCAAATGGAAGACATAGAAACACCAAAGGCCGAGAGACAGAAATGAAAGAGATGTATGGCTGGAGTGCAGAATTTGTGTCAAGTATCAGTTTTAGATAAAATTGGGGCCAGGCTGAGGGGGTCCTGAATATCCAACTAAAGAGTCTAGACTTAGTACAATGGAAAGAGTGCTGGCTCTGGCATCAGAGGACCCCCGAATTCAAATTCTACTCTGTGACCTTGGGCAAGACATTTACCCCCCGGGTTTCAGCTTCCTTATATGTAAAATTAGGAAGTTGAAATTAATGATCTGAACCTCCCCTCATAGCTCCCTATCACTGAAAGGATAATCCATATGGAATTGCCAACTCACCCCAAAAGACAAGTGACAAGTTGGCTCTGTGACCACTTCAGCATTATTCACATTAACTGGTACCTAGCTATATGGGAAGAAGAAATTGGCAACTGGTCCCATCACTTCCTGGCAAATAGAAGGAGAAGAAATGGAAGTGATGTCAGATTTTATAGCCTTGGGTTCAAGTATCACTGCAGGTGACAACTATAGCCACGAAATTAAAAAATCACTTGCTCCTTGGAAGGAAAGCTATGGTAAACCTAGATAGCACAGTTGAAAAGAAAAGAAAAGAAAAGAAAAGAAAAGAAAAGAAAAGAAAAGAAAAGAAAAGAAAAGAAAAGAAAAGAAAAGAAAAGAAAAAGCCCAGAGACATCACCTTGCTGACAAAGGTCCATATAGTCAAAGCTATGTTTTTTTTTTTCTGGTAGTAATGTATGGCTGTGAGAGTTGGACTATAATGAAAACTGAGTGCCACAGAATCAACACTTTTGAACTGTGGTGCTGGAGAAGATTTTTGAGAGTCCCTTGGACAGCAAGGAGGTCAAATCAGTCCATACTTAAAGAAATTAATTCAAGCTATTCACTGAAAGGTCAAATACCAAAGCTGAAGTTTAAATACTTTGGCCATATAATAAGAAGACAAGACCCATTGGAAAAGACCCTGATGTTGAGAAAGATTGAAGGCAAAAGGAAAGGGGGATGGCAGAGGATGAGACGGATGGATAATATTACAGAAATAACAAATATGAATTGGACAGACTTTTGAGATATTGGAGGATAGAAGGGCTTGGCATGTTGGGGTCTATGGGGTCACAGAGAATCAGACATGACTGAATGACTGAACAATAACAATAATAGTTGTTGGGAAGGAGCCATGTCTCAGTGAGGGCCACAAAATGGAAAGAATGATAAAGAAAGAAGTTTAAGATGAAAAGAAGTTCGTTAATTATGGAGCAGGCATCCAAAGGTCACAATAGAAGGAATGGGTAGATGTAGAGTTGAACACTAGGGAATAGGCTTGGAGTGGATACGCATGAAGGAAGGGGAATAGTGTTTGTATATCAGCAGCCTGGCATTCAGGACTGTTGAGATGGGGTGAGCCTCTGCTAACCATTGTGCACTGAGGCCAGGTACAGTATCAGTTATTGGAAAGAAGTTGGTTGAGGGAGGCATGGGATTAGACTGTGCACAGGAGTTACCCTTCCCCACCCCCCATTTTTGCCATGAAGCTATTTTTGCATATTTGCCTTGAAGGTCAGCCTCCTGACAGATGAAGATATTGTGTCCCATGAGATCTGAGGAGGCCTGCCTCACTGTAGGTAAGAGACCATTAAAGTATGGGAGCCTAGTCAGAAAACCTGTCCTGGAGAAAGCCCTGGAGTGGAGGAATTGGAAGAGGTATTATTGTTTGTAGCACTGGAGAACATCCTGGGCTATGGCTACACTGGAGTGAGAGGCAGGTCCTGGGCCAGGTCCACATTTATGGGCAAGAGAAGGCCAAGAAAGCCAACAGGGTTTGCAGAGGAGGGGGAAGAGTTCACGTGGCCCAGTGTTGGAAGGGGCCCCAGTGCTGGTCCCAAAAGGAGCTCCAATATAAATTTATTCCTTATATTTGGCAGAATTAGAGTGAAGAAATAGCTATCTCTTAGAAAGGGAATTAATAGCTTGGCACAAGGAATACAAAGCCTTACCCAAGCAGCAAAGTCCCTAAAAATTAAAAAGAATAAAGAAGTCAATGATTCCATGAGACAACAATAAATATTGAAACAAAATCAAAAGATTGAAAAAATAGAGAGAAAATGTAAGACATCTCATAGCAAAAACAACTGATCTAGAAAACAAATCATAAAGAAAAATATTAAGAATCACTGGGCTATCAGAATTGCATAAACAAAACAAGGTATAGACATCACATTTCAGAAAATCTTAAAGGCTAGTTGAATTAGCAGCACTCTGACTTGTACATAGTAGCTGTTTAACAAACATTTGTTGAATAGGGTTGAATTGACTTGTTAGAACTTGTGCTTTGTGGATAGCTTTGGGAATCCTGGTCACATCAACATATCACTGAGTATTTTGGTAGAGGTAGGATTCTAAATCACAGGAAAAGTAAGTGATTAGTAATCTGTTAATAAAGCACAGTGGTTAGAGCACTGGCCTTGGGACCAGGAAGACTCATCTTCATGAGTTCAAATCCAGGCTCAGACACTTACTAGCTATGTGACCCTGGGCAAGTCATTTCACTCTGTTTGCCTCAGTTCCTCATCTGTAAAATGAGCTGGACAAATATGGTGCTGATACCTAGACAAAGAAGAGCAAAAACAGAGAAAGAAAACTACAGATAAGTTTCCCTAATGAATATTGATGCAAAATTTTAAAATAAAATACTAACAAAGAGAGTGCAACTATACATCACAAGGATCATACAATATTACCAGGTGGGTTTTATATCAGAAATGCAGAGCTGGTTCAATTTTAGGAAAATTGTCAGCATAATTGACCATATCAATAACAAAGCCAATAGAAATCATACAGTTATCTCAACAAATACAGAAAAAAAGTCTTTGACAAAATACAATACTCATTCCTATTTAAAAACACTAAAGAACATAGGAATAAATGGAGCTTCCCTTAAAATGATAAGTATTATCTATCTAAAACCATCTGCAAATATTATCTGTAATGGGGATAAGCTAGAAACCTTCCCAATACAATCAGGGGTGAAACAAGGAGGCCCATTATCACCACTATTACTAAAAATTATACTAGAAATGCTAACTATAACAATAAGAGAAGAAAAATAAGTTGAAGGAATTAGAATTCACATTGAGGAAACAAAACTATCACTCTTTGCAGACAATATGATGGTATACTTAGAAAATCCATAAAAAAAAAAAACTAGTTGAAGGGGCAGCTAGGTGCCTAGAGCACTGGCCCTCAGGTCAGGAGGACTTGAGTTCAAATCCGACCTCAGACCAAACACTTGACACTTACTAGCTGTGTTACCCTGGGCAAGTTACTTAACCCCAATTGCCAAAAAAAAAAAAAAAACTTAGTTGAAACAATTAACAGCTTTAGCAAAGTCACAAGATACAAAAGAAACCACATAAATCATTAGCATTTCTATATATTACCAACAAAATCCAGCAAGAAGAGATAGAGAAATTCTATTTAAAATGACTGTAGACAATATAAAATACTTGGGAATCTACCTGCCAAGACAAACTGAGGAACACAGTTTGTAATTGTACACAAAAATAAAGTCAGATCTAAACAACTGGAAAAATATTAATTGCTCATATAATAAAAATGACAATTCTATGTAAGTTAATCTACTTATTCAGTGTCATACCAATCAAACTACCAAAGATTATTTTATAGAGCTAGAAAAAATAATAACAAAATTCATCTGGAAGAACAAAAGATCAAGAATATCAAGGGAATCAATTAAAAAAGATGTGAAGGAAGGTGGCCTAGCTTTACCAGATCTGCAACTATATTATAAAGTAGTAATTATCAAAATAATTTGGTATTGGCTAAGAAATGGAGTGGTGGATTAGTGGAAAAGATTAGGTACACAATATATGGTAGTAACTGACCATAGTAATAGAGTGTTTGATAAACCCAAAGATGCAAGCTTTAGGGACAAAAACTCATTATTTGACAAACATTGCTGGGAAAATTGGAAAACAGCAATTCAGAAACATCTCACACTGCATACCAAGATAAAGTCAAAATGGGGATGCGATTTAGACATAAAGAGTGATACCATAAGCAAAATGGAATAGTGTACTGTCAGATGCATGAATAAGGGAATACTTTAGGACTAAACAAGATATAGAGAGCATTATAAAACATAAAATGGCTAATTTTGATTCCATAAAAATTAAAGCTTTTGCGCAAATGAAACCAATGCTGCCCAATTAGAAGGAAAACAAAACTGGGAAAAAATTATTATAAAAAGTGTTTCTGATAAAGGTCTCATTTCTCAAGTATATAGAGAACTGAGTGAAATTTATAAGGATACAAGTCATTCCCCAATTGACAAATGATCAAAGGATATGAACAGGCAGTTTTAAGACAAAGAAATCAAATAAATCTACAATCATGTGAAAAATTATCTAAATCACTATTGATTAGAGAAACACAAGCTAAAACACCTTTGTGAGTTACCCCCTCACACCTACCAGATTGGTTAATATGACAAAAAAAGAGAACTATAAATGTTGGAAGAAATGTGGGAAAACTGAGATACTAATGCACTGCTGTTGGATGATCCAAACATTCTGGAGAGCAATTTGGAACCATGCCCAAAACGGCTATAAAAATGTGCATACCCTTTGACTCAGCAATACCACTACTAAGTCTATATACCAAAGAGATGTTTTTAAAAGTGTGTGTGTGTGTGTGTGTGTGTGTGTGTGTGTGTGAAGAACCTTTTTGTACAAAAATATTTGTAGCAGCTCTTTTTGCGGTGGCAAAGAATTGGAAATTGAGGGGATGCCCTTCAATTGGGAAATGCTGAACAGGTTGTGGTATATGGTTGTAATGGAATATTATTGTGCTCTAGGACAAGTAGGATGGTTTCAAAAAAACTTGGGAAGACTTACAGGAACTGATGCAAAGTGAAGTAAGCAGAATCAGAAGAACATTGTACAACACAACAGCAATATTATACTATGAAGAATTGTGAATGACTTAGCTATTTTCTCAGCAATACAACAATTCAAGACAATCCCAAAGGCCTTATGATGAAAAGTGCTACCCACCTTCAGGGAAGGAACTGATGGAATCTGAATGCAGACTGAAGCATATTTTCTTCCCTCCCTCCTTTCCTTGTTCCTTCCTTCCTTCCTTCCTTCCTTCCTTCCTTCCTTCCTTCCTTCCTTTTTCTTTCTTTCTTTCTTTCTTTCTTTCTTTCTTTCTTTCTTTCTTTCTTTCTTTCTTTCTTCTTTCTTTTCTTTTCTCCTTCCTTCCTTCCTTCCTTCCTTCCTTCCTTCCTTTCTTTCTTTCTTTCTTTCTTTCTTTCTTTCTTTCTTTCTTTCTTTCTTTCTTTCTTTCTTTCTTTCTTTCTTCCTTTCTTCCTTCCTTCTGTTCTTTCTTCCTTCCTTCCTTTCTTTCTTTCTTTCTTTCTTTCTTTCTTTCTTTCTTTCTTTCTTTCTTTCTTTCTTTCTTTCTTTCTTCTTTCTTCCTTCCTTTCCTTCCTTCCTTCCTTCCTTCCTTCCTTCCTTCCTTCCTTCCTTTCTTTCTTTCTTTCTTTCTTTCTTTCTTTCTTTCTTTCTTTCTTTCTTTCTTTCTTTCTTTCCTTATAGAAAATGACTAATATGGAATTGTTTATATGAATGCACATTTATAACCTATATTAGATTGCTGATATAAGAGGGGAGAGTGAAGGGAGGGAGGGATAGAACTTGAAAATCAAAAGTTTAAAAAAACCCCAATGAATGTTAAAAATTATTTTTACATGTAGTAGGAAAAAAAATAAAAAATTTTTAAATGAGCTGGAGAAGGAAATGATGAAGTAGTCCAGTATCTTTGCCAAAAACAAAACAAAACAAAAAAAACCAAATGGGGTCATGAAGAGGTAAACATGACTGAATTAACACAACAACAGCTATCTGCTGATGGTCATACCAAAAGGAGCTGGTACCCTGGTGGGGAAATCAGCTGGGCTGCCGTCGGGTGTGCCCTGAGGCCTTTTCAGTGGGGCAATTTGTTTTGATGGCCAGACACCTGTGGAGCACCAGCAATATGCTTTCCTGTTAGCATGAATGGAAAACAGATTATCACCAAAGGCATGAAGTCCCTTCTGTGGTTTCTTTGTTTTCTCATGGACCTTGACTTTCTGCCAGTCATACTCACATCTACTCCAGGACCTGCTGTTGGGAGAAATACTAAGAGATCTGGGGTTTTGAGAAATCAGGTGACTCATCTCTAATATTTTAGGTATTGCTTACTGGGCACAGAAAGTTTCTGTTCTTCCTGCTTGTTTAAGTTAGACGCATAAACAAGCTAGGTTGGAAAGAATCTCATCTTAATAGAGAATAACCCCCTTCCCCCCAACAACTACAATTTCCTGGAATCCTGTGTTTTCTATTGCTCAAGCAATGTATTTATTAAACATCTACTATGTATCAGGCATCCAGGTGGCTCACTGAGCCTGGAGTCAGGAAGATCTGAGTTCAAATTTGACCTCAGACACTTTCTAGCTGTGTGACCCTGAGCAAGTCACTTAACCCTGTTTGCCTCAGTTTCTTCATCTATGAAATGAGCTGGAGAAGGAAATTACAAACCACTCCAGTATCTTTGCCAAAACAAACAGGCAAAAAACATGGACATTATGGTCCACCGGGTCACAAAGAATTGAGCATGACTGAACCAGTGTGAAATAACAATGTGCCAGGCACTGTACACTGGGGATAGAAAGAACAAGCAAAAACAGTTCTTGCCCTCAAGGAGGCTGCATTCTTTTGGAGTGTATCTACCCATCTATATAAACTGGTACATCCAAGATACATGTTGTTATTCGTCCTTCGTTTTCAAAGATGATTATTGACATCATGAGTGATCTCTTGACTTGTGCCTGAATTGGATTTAAGTGAGGCAGAGTTGCACAAAATCACGAGCCTCACTCTCTCTTCCAGAGTCATTGAAGTCCCATGGCAAGACAAAAGTTCTTCAAAATACATACAGGGTAGATGCAAGGTATCCTCAAAGAGATGGGCAGCTGAGAAAACTAGGAAAGGCCCCCTGCAGATAACAGGATTTAAACTGAACCTTGCAGGACACTAGGGATTGTAAAGACAGATAAAGAGGGAGTGAATTCCAGAAATAAAGTTTAGCCAGTTCAAAGGCTGATAATGTATGTCTGACAGGTAATAAAGCTGACTGGGGCAGAAAGCTACTTTTATAACTTTTCAGTGTTTACCTGGGCAATAAAAATGTGCAAATGACTGCAATGTAAATGGAAAGAATGACTACCACAAAACACTTGAAAATGAATGTTGCAAAAATTATAGAATAAGCTTGGCCACAAAAAAGAGCTATAAGAAGACCCTCGAAGTGCTGGGGGTGGTGATCCATGGTTTTAAAACACTGCAAACAAGAATTGGAAGTTGAGGGGATGCCCATCAATTGGGGAATGGCTGAACAAGTTGTAGTATATGAATGTAATGGAATACTATTGTTCCATAATAAACGAGCAGGCAGATTTCAGAAAAACCTGGAAAGACTTGCATGAACTGATGCTGAGTAAAGTGAGCTGAACCAGGAGAACATTGTACACAGTAACAGTCACATTGTGGGATGACTAACTTTGATAGACTTAGCTCTTCTCAGAAATGCAGTGATCTAAGACAATTCCAAAAGACTCATGATGGAGAGCATTCTAAAACATAAAATGGATAATTTTGATTATATAAAAAAGGTGGGTTTTTTTGCAATGTGGCTTATATGGAAATATATTTTGCACAATTTCACATGTATAATTGATATCATATTGCTTGCCTTCCCAATGGGGAGAGGAGGGACTGGAGGGAGAGTGAGGATTTGGAACTCAGAATCGAGGGGGGAAAGAATTTTAAAAATAAATAATTTTAAAAGAAGATTTAAATATAGGAAGAGGGATAAGGGGGGGATTTTGGAAAAGCAAAATATATCAACAAATATTTATAAGGAAAAAAAGACTGCTTAGATCTTACAAGATGCTACAAGCATGCATTAAGCACTGGCTGCACATAGAGCACAGTTTTCTGGGTTCATACAAAGGTTAGATAAGATTCAGTCCCCACTGTTAAGGACTCAGTCACATTGCTGGTATTAACACCTAATGCTCTGAGGACCCAGATGCCTCCTAAATGCATCATCTTCCATTATAAAGACCACCAGGAAATCAGACACTTGACATTTTGCTAAAGAACCTGGCAAGACTTTCTCACTACTGTGATGTCTTGAATATTAGTATTGCTGCGGAAAGGGAACATTATGACGTTGAATACAGTCTTTGTCACAATCATGCTCTCTTACAAGTCTCCACTGAGATCGCCAACCTCAATCAACCCAATTCACTGACACACTAGGACCCCAAGATCCAGGCCATGCAGTTCTTCACTCTCTCAAATCCATTTGCAGGCACACTCATCCACAAATAACTCCCTGGCTCCTGAAACTCCCTCACCCATGGTGAATTGATCCTTATTCCACCCCAGTCCTTTCTGCCTCTCACTCACTCACATGACTGTTCTCCTATATTGACTCAGTTACTCTGACCTGTAACATTGTGTCTCCTTCCTTCTCCATTGCTTTAGTACCTTCAAACCCCAGCAACAACAATGAATCTGTTGCGGGCTGACAGGTTGAGAGGTTGTGACCCCTCAAAGGCTGAATTACAGGATGGGTCGTCTGGAATGAATTCACAGACTCAAGCATTCTTTAAGCCAAGGTGGCAAAGTTTATTGTTATGCTTTTCAGTGGGCAAGGATTCTTAAAGGATCCTGCAACCTCAGAGAGGTACAGTTAAAGTTTATATAGCATAAAATACAATAAAACATGTGCCAAATATGCTAACTAGGGGATTCAGGGTGGAATTAGGGAGTGGTTAAGGAGTGGTCAGTTCTTAAAAGAACATGCACTTCTTATACCTACTGCACAAGCATTTTACCCAGAGTTCACTAGGAAAAGCCCACAAGGGGGACCACATGGAGGTATGGTTTTAGGCCTGCTACATCACTAGGTCAACTAGAGTTCAGGGACAACTGAGAGTTGTCCAGTCTGCCACCAATCAATGTCTTGTTTGACAAGATAGATGTAGGGAGTATACATATGTCTTAAGTCTAGAATACAGTTAGTGAGGAGTCCAGGATGTAGATAATGTGGTAGGGTGGTAGGATAGTATAGTAGTGGGTAAGATGTCTTTATGACCCAGTGCAAAGCCAGTTCAAACTAATAAATCCTTCAGGTGCTGTTTGGAACTGCACCAGGGAGAGAGATAAGGGTCTTGCTGGGGCCCACTCATGAGTAATTGCTAAGCACAGGGTCCTTGGGCTGGGGAGAAACTGTCAGAGACAGTGTTTCTGAGGCTGGGGAGAAATTGGGGTCCAAGTACAAGCACCCAAACACAAGCACCCAAGCACCCTGCCATTTCCTTGTGAGATATGTGTGTGTGTGTGTGTGTGTGTGTGTGTGTGTGTGTATACAGAGAGAGAGAGAGAGAGAGAGAGAGAGAGAGAGAGTGAAATAAGTTCCAGCTATAAGACAGTCTGGGTCCTAAGCTTCAGTATTGGGTACACGGCCAAAAGCCTTTTGATTATATATTGGGGTGTGGAAGGGTTGGTGCTCAGGTACAGGTTTTCTCAGCAGATGCAGTTTCCATGTGGAAGAAGGCAAGGAGCTAGATTCCTGAAAGGAGTGATGAGGCATCATAGGAAAGCCCTGTTACCCAATCTAGAGCTTGCACAAACATTTTGTAATTGGTTCTAACCCATGAACCCCTTAATGAAGAGAAGGACAGTTGATTGACTGGGTAGCTGGGACTGGAATGCCTTCAAAAGGCATTATGTTGTTCATCTTTTGTTTTTGTTTCATTTTTATTTTTTAGGTATTTGGGGTTAAGT